ACCGCGTAATTTTGTTTCGATTTAACGCGATTTTGACACACATCAAAAAAATCTGCTGTCGCCTGTCACTGAACCCACGGTCGAAATGCTACAGTACCCGGTGGTCTATAGTAACGATCTATCGGGCGGGGTGGCTATCCCTCGTTTTCTCCAAGTTCTCTTTGTGTACTCATATTCGACCTCACGCAAGGATCGGAGGCGAGATAACGCCGTTGTTACCGGTCTTCGATTATTGCGCGATCAAGACAGATGGCGCCCCCTCACGATTCTTATCCAAAATCTACGAGGCAACAGCGGATCATCCCGTAAGGGCTCCTTCAGTCACTTCCATACATACATTCAAGAACCTTTCTTTCAAACCACCGGGACGGCTACTTGGGCTGCAAATTTTGAACGAATGCACGACCCATAGCTATGATAGTCCTCGTTAATTGAAGTTGGAACTGTCTGAAACTGACTTTCCATGATTACAGTACTTTGATAATCGCTTTTGTTCTCCTTTGAGTTTGAACTGTTCGGCTGGTTGCGACGTAACGCTTACCGTACGGTTCTGGGGGTGCTCACAGCAAGCGCACGGATTAGCCTCCCAGCTCTGATCTCTCATGGTGATGCCATCCCCGGCCGAGGTATCTGAGTGGGAGGATTCTCACCATGCATCCCAGTGTGTTTTTCCTCTGTTCTCTTTTTGCGTAACCCTTCCTCTTCGACTAATGCTCGACTTTTCCCCTCCCGTCTAAGCAAAGCTGGTCTTTGGCTAGTCCTTTACATTGTCCGTGCAGTGCACTCCCCTCTTTCAATCGACTCCAACTCTCCCTCCCAATGTTGGTCACTCTTGCTTTCCTGCCCCTGCTCGCCTCATCCCCACGGGATAAATGCGTCTTTGATGGTATGTCTTTTCTTTCATCACAGTGCCCTTTTGAGCTTACCTCCTTCATCTTATAGGCGCGTAAGAGCGTAAATCGTATTTCAATTATCTCGTATTCGCAGTGCTAATTTGTCGCCCTTCAAGTCGGCACTGTCGAGCTCATCTGCGGTATATTGTTGGTGTATTTTCTCGTTTGCTCAAAACTGATGATACTGGTCCTGCCAGGTGTCCTCTTCAGTAGGTGCCAGCGCTGCCCTGTCTGGATCCCTGAACTCTACCACCTCGCTCGCCTCGGCCTCTGACAAGTCAACGGGAACCAAGAAGAAAGTTCATGCAATTGTTGTCTGGACCCATTGCTGATGATGTCCTTTCAAAGGTGCGCTGATAATGCTGCTGATGCTGCTACTGCGAAAGACGAGAAGACCGAAGACAAGGGAAAGAATACCGCAGAGGAGAAAGCCGCTGCGGAGAAAGCCGCAGCAGAGAAGGCCGCAAACAAAATAATGAACTACTTGCCGACCCGCGGAAGCCGCCGTGCGCAAGCCGAGGAGACGGCGCGGGAGAACTAACTATCCCACTCGTATAAGAATAGGGCATCGCACCGTACGTACCGTATACGGTACGTGACAAGATAGGTGAGTACGGCGTCAATTTCCGATACGTACGGTGACCGGAAAGGGGCGCTGGGGTGACACGGTACGGTACGGATAAAATACGGCCGTATACGTGATACGTACGGACAAAAATAAATAAATTTCTACCTAAGCTCTGAGACCGATGGCGTCGGCCTCATCCAACTCCTTCAGAACCTCCTTGCGTGCAAGGCGCAGCTGTGCTTTGAGTATCATCAAGGTTCGGATGGTAGTGGGCTGCAAGCTGGCTCGACGAAGGGCAATGGTGTCACGGCCTCCCGAGAAAACTCGCTCCACGGCAACCGCAGATCCTGGTTGAGATGGAGATGAACAAGGGGCAAAAAATGGCTCAAGATGGCGTACCAGGTATACAATGAATATCCCGCGCCATTTTGTACAGGTTGGGGAACGCCGCGCGATTAGCATACCACCAACCGAGAAGGTCAGTGGTGTCGAACGGGAGCGGGATGGAAGTCATCTGGAAGTAACGCTTGAGCTCGTCCTCAGGGTTCGAAGATGCTTGGGAGCTTTGGAAGCGACTAAAGAAAATCTTCTTCTGTGGTGAGTCATCTGTTGGACGGGTGGGGATGCGCGCGCTGGACGACCCGTTCGCCCGAGGTGCCGGAGACGGTGTCACAATGTCGGGAATATATTTGTCCCTGAACTCGGCCTCCAGCGACGCTTTGGAGGATTTCAAGTCCGCAAGTAAATCAAACTGGTCTTTGAATACATCCTTGAGGGTGGTGTCGCCGATGCGAGGGTCCAACACTGGTAACTCGGATCAGAAAGATTGAACCCAATGTATAATCTCACTTACACGATGCCCACAGATAATACGGAGAGGCGTCGAAGGTGAAGTAATAATCGCTCAGCTTTTGGTGTGCAGCAAACATCCCCTCCTTGAGTTCGGGAGCGACATCGCTGGACAATGCAGTAAGCTGCTCTTTGATGCTTGCTTGTAATTCGCAAAACACGAGATGCGTGCGCGAGAGCATGGGTTTACTCGTGGTGGACATCTCCGTGGTTGCACGACGGAAGTCACTGAGCCACGAGCGCACCTGACGAAGAGCAGCCCAGTCCGCGTCCGATAGCTGAGCGTCAGCAAGCTCCGGCGCCCCGGAAGCGTACTTATTGATAGCATCCTTATTGTGCAGGGCGCGGCCTAGTAATTCACAGCTTGTAAGGACATTCAAACATAGGAAAAACACAAGATACGCACGGAGCATTTGGTGCGTGGATGTCCACCGCGTGCGCACATCGAGGATCAACATAAGCTGAGCCTCAGATAGTTCCTCTTGCAACTGGTCCAGGGCAACTCGAACTGTGAGTTCCCAAGAGCGGCGCCGCTGCGGGGAGCTTCGCACATGCTTGACAATTCGTCGTAGCTGGCGCAGGTCAATAAGAGATAGAAGAAAACACACTAAACTCACCTTGTAAACCGCTAATGACACCCCTTGGCGTGCGGGCTTAGTCGGGTTATACGAGGGCACCGCAGGCTCTCCGTCGTCCTCCGAATCCGATTCATCAACCTGCGCTGTCGCGTTGCGCTCGGCGATGCGCTCGGCTTCAGGGGTGTCGCTTTGGGTAACTATCTCTTGATATGCCCCTCGGCGCGAGCGAGACTGAGCCTTCTGGGCTTCGTCCTTTGTCAGTGCGCCCACAGCTTCGAGTAGCTATTTTAAACCGGAATCAGCCAGTATAAATTAACCGTATTAGAAAACCCGCATGGAAATGCGTTTGCCTGGAATATCTTCCACTCGCCTCTTTCCCTGACGCGTTTTGGATTATATGCAACCGCCCTTACAGAGACCCGATGGGTAGGACCACATTCGCGCTCTGTATCAGTTTATGTGTTACAATTGTTAACAGCGAATAATCCCGTTCGACTCGGGGTCGGGTCATTGCCTGGTCAACATCATTTTTTCTAGGTTGGTCTCGCCCCACCGATTTAACTTGCAGCAAGTTTATCTACATAAGTACGTCCCCAATTGATTTATTCTCCACATTATTTCTCGTGAGGAACGCACCTCCCCGGCGTGAATGCAACAGGAAACAAAAACTTGCATCCGGATATCAGACACAGGATGTTCGTTGAGGTAGGACGTTATAATGTAATGGCAACAAGTAGGAGGACGCTCGTTTTCTGAGTGCAGATTGTACACCTGCAATAATTGGTTACGAACGCCAGACAGCGAAAAATAGGGAAGCAGGAATCCTTGAAGGCTGGCATCCGAGTACATGCTGTAGCAAATGAAGAAAGGGCTCCGCCCTCGAATTTTATACCCCAACCGAAACAGCAGAGAAGTGTACGCAGAAGAAAAAAAACGTCGCATGCGGAGAAAAAGGAACCGGTAAAAATAATGTCTGTTGCCCCGAGATTGATGACCCGACCCCGAATCGAACGGGAAAATTCTGCTGGCAAGTGAGCCGCGTCCTAGGAATCGCAGATGCGGCCTTCCGCCATTGAGTCTGTCTGGGGATGTTCGAGGGTGTGGTACGAGGCAAATTCAACAAGTAGGTTGGCTGATTTACATGGCGCAGAGTGTGGCCGCTGAGGGTCTAGACAAGCAAATTCGTGCACCAAAGAAAGTTCGAGGCAAGCAGCCCGAGTGCCGGTACGGTACGTATGTAGATAGATTTCAAATCCTGGAGAAAAAATGTGTGGCTGAGCGACCGGACCCCGACTCGAACGGGGGAAATCTGCTTGAACATTACATAGAGAACGAGGTATCAATGTGCGCAGATGCGGCCATTCGCCGTCGGGGCGTGAAAGGAGTGTAATTTGTACGGATAATGATGGGAGGACCTCGCTGACAAATAGCAAGGAATTGTCGAATTCATCCATAACCTGAAAAGGAAGAAGGGCAAGGAGGTCGGAAATCTTTCCTGAACGCTCGTTTCGAGTTAAGTGAACTCTATAGGCGAACCAAGCATGGATGAGGGCCTTAATTCCTTCTGAATTTGAGAAGGAGTGCCACGAATCAACACGAAAGACTGTGCCGGATGCTCACTAGATCTACATGGATAGAATAAAAAGAGATTCACTACACCACCGATGGAGGCCGTCGGGAGGATTCGAACCTCCGCGCACCTCGTGAATTCCTTTCAGGATAGATTATTCGAGGGAGACCTGCCACCGGTCAGCAACGGCTTTCCTGCTGTGGGTATACCCGGCTGGTAAGTTACAGTGAATGCGAGGATGGATGGGTACTTACTGTCTGTGTTGAAAGGCGGCTTCTTCGCTCTGCAGGCGAGGGAGACATATGTCTTACAGCAGAGAAAGGAACCCCTAGCGATTAGAACTCACGCCGCGCGCAATTGAGTTCTCAGAAATCAATATACACGGTTTACGGGCCCATCTACTCACCCGTCATTTTAGTTTCCCTCTTTGAGAACACGATTTCCCTCTTCAGAGACACCCGCTGTACAAAACAGAGTCTCGTTTTGTTCAGCAATCTCACGACCCGTTCCGGAAACAAAAACAAAAGGTGAATTGTGGCGCACGCCGTCGGGAGGAATCGAACCTCCGTAGCTCCCGTAAGCCTCGATTTCTTCGCCCTTGAGAGGACGCGAGGGGCCTGCCACTGGCCAACGACGGCGTTCCGAGGAGTAGTGGGTGTGCAAGTAGGAAGGTAAACTGCGCTGGGTGAATGTAAGCCGCTCACCTAGGCGCTGTGAGCGCGAGAAAGGAGAGGAAAAAGAGAACAGGCGAGGGCAAACGAAAAGATTCGCCGCAACTCGATCGGCAGAGAGATTGCAGGGCCGCGGAAAGATTCATGCGCGTATAAGTATTGTAGATATCTGTGCATCGTTTCCGAAAAGTCGTGTCCGGAAAAGGCGAGGGCTTGGGCACTCGAGCGGTGGAAAGGGAAAGGTACACGCGCAAGTAGCGAGGAGAGGGGGTCGTGTGAGTCGGAAGATGTCGTAGATCAGACTCGGATACGCGTGCAAAGAACGGAGCAGAGGTGTAGAGAAACTATTGAATGTGCTTGATGATGTAGTGACGTCTAGCGGGAAAGAGCACTGCCGGATTCCGTCCAGGGAGAGTTCGAGCGAGCGAGGGGCGTTGCAGACTAACAGTGAAGCGGTGTGCTAGTCGGTGAGATGGGGAATCCTGGGTTTGGCATACGAGATCAGTTCAGCGTCGGTCGGTGGATGGATCTCTTGTCTTGCCTGTATGTACCTTGTCCCAGTGAGTAGGACCCGGAGTTGCTCGGAGTAGCGTTGGGCAGTGGACGCAGGGATCCGATAGCTCCTTGATCCGATACCACCACCATCTCCACTTTTCCCACGCTCGCTCGCTGGCGGCGTCGGGCTAAACGGGGCGGGTAGTGGTTTTGGGCCAAGGAGGGTCCACAGCCAGGGTTCGCAGCCCAAGGGTGACCCCCACACCCGCGTAGCCTACGAGCTACACCGCACAGGTTGCGGAAGGTGCCTACGAGCCCTATTATAAAAGCCATCGAGCTAAAGTCTTAAACGACTCATCTGCGTCACATCTGCGCTCCATTTCGTTGTGGGGACCAACAAGGGTGAGTTATATGTCCCCGAGCCTTTACACACTCCCCCTCTCCCTCCTCGCTGGCGTCGCCCCGATTCGTCGGGCTGCGATAGCCGCTCACCCCAAATGACCACCACCTTCTGACTCGTTGTTGTTCCGTAACCGGACCGAGATCACGTGACACGAAGGCGCAACTGTAGATTAGATTTACGACTCCCTTTGTTCGCACTTGCGATAGTCTTTGAACCCCACGACCAGTGCTGCTTGAGCTCTCTGAAATATCAACTTTACTACTGCTGTCGGAACTTTCTATTCTTATAACCAAAACTAACCACCTAACTCGGAAGTGGGCGGCGCAAAATTGAAAACTCTGAATTGATTGGGGAAGACTGGGGTCCCCTGCATCGCCGCCCACACCCCATGACCATGTTTTGCGCTCCACACCCGGCCCGAAGTTACGTGACATGCAAAATTTACTGCCCACATATACACGAAATTCAGGTGTACCAGTTGTGCACCAGTTCATAGCACTGGTTTATCTCAAAATAATCTTGAACGAAACCATCCTCTACGTCACTGCGATACACGAAAAAAATTAAAACACTCTCACTCAGTCTCACGTGACCCCTTGACATGCTGAACGCTCAGACGATGAGCATGTCAGCAGCACCGCATTCGGTGAAATTATCATGATTCAATTCTAACGACCTATAAAACACCACATTCAATGTGTTTCTAGTCCATCAGGTGAGGCTGAATTGGAAATTTATTCAACCGCCCGGAACTTTATTCCGCCGAATGATAAATTGTATGGCCTTCTTGATTGGAACCTGAATCCACCCTGGCGTCTCCCTCCTACGCCGGTGCGCTCTCGCCTCGCACCTCTGAACTTCTGAACTCTGTCTCTGTCCAACTCACCAATCTTACCGGGTTTAGTTCGCCAGATCCCGCTCAAAAAATGGCTCAAGAGGACGTGGATATGAAGTCCCAGGTATTCTATCCATACTGCTGATCCACTCCGTCTTTGACATTGAGTTAGTATGAGGACTGCCTGGTGGGCTCAAAGTCGTACAACCCGCCGGCGAGAGGATGGACTGCGGACTGGGTTCGCACGAACCATAAAGATTATGTGATAAAAGAACTCGATGCGCACCCTGGTGCGGCGACTTTTTTTGAATAAAATGTTATCCAACACTAAAAGTGTCGATACAGACGACTGTATTGCCGCCGTTATACTCACCTCCGACTTTGTGGATCGCGCGCGCGGCCCTGACACCATCCAAGCCGTCCTCGTTGCCCACAGCATCCCAGACTCCGACAAGATCGACGTCTTCCCCCCGATCCCAAAACAAGACGCTCCGCCGCGTACCAGGGGCATGGGCATGCCTTGGACTAACATCATCACGAACTGCACCGCCGCGTTCATGAACGCGGCGAGAGTGACATTTTCGGCTTGACAAACGGGCTTGCGCCTGCGCCAAACGGCTTTTTTCGGGCTTGGGCTTGGATTTGGGTGGCGCGCCAAGCCCAAGCCCGGCATTTCGGCTTGCAAGCCCGTTTGCCGGCTTGGCAAGCCCGTTTGCTCGCTTAGCCGAGAAACGGGCTTGCGCATATTTCTCGTCCCCCTCGGCCTATTTGATCAATCTGAGTAGATAAACTATGCACAGCAAGTACATACTTCCAGGGCTTGCAAATTTTCCCGATGTTTTTCTCACAGATATGATGATATGCCGTCGTCGCCGGAGACGACATAGGGCAACATTGTGAATTCACCCCAAAATTACGGGCTTGCCGGGTTCAGTACACTCCCCCGGTACATAATCAGTCTCTGGCCCTCAAAATTCCCATGAAACTTACTTTCCTTCGTCTCTCAGCCGCTATCTTTTGCATGGTGTACTACTGGGGTTGGTTGAATTCCTCAGGTTAGTGTCAGAACTCATGAAAATGATGAATCAATGTTCAAATATTCTATTCCAGCCACTATCACTCTGAATAAGGCAAACAACACAGAGACCTCATGCTACAACAGCATTTAATTTATTCTGCGGTCAAACCAAACACAGGCCAAGCAAGGTGGTGGGCATCGTCGCCACGACGTTCCCTGAGTACCCCAGAAATATTTCTAGAAGTACCTGTGATATATGAGACTATCAACTAATTGCCCACGAAGCCAGGGAAAAAATCCTTCTACTGTATGAGCCGGCGGCCTACGATTTCGAATACCATGATAATCAATGGTTGAGCGAATATCTGCATCGCTGCAATGCAAGGGAGCAGTAGTTTATGTTCTCCACCCTCTTTTTACACTCCTAAGTTGGGTATCCCAACGGGCTTGCAGTCGGCTTGTGTCACGTGCCACAAGCCGTTCTACTGGGCAAATGGGCTTGCGCGCGCCGTTGGGTCCCAGAATTTTCGGAAACACGAGTAGTGTCTGCTAGCAAAAACTTGGGTACCGAATTAATGCTGGGAGGTACTGATTACCTGCAAAACCTGTGAGAGAAATTATGCAAGAATCAAGCAGGAAGTCACACGATGTTGTGCAGTTCAACTTAGCTTGGGCTGGGGCAGTTTGCCTTAGGCTTGAATTGGCTTTCAAAGACCAGCTTGAACCACTGCAGAACGGCTTGCACAGCCGGCTTAGCCTTGTATTGGGGCTTGTGTGTGCGGACATAACGGGCTTACTTGACACCTGTGCAGAAGACTCGGAACCGGTTACGTAGAATTGCGGCGCCGTGGCACGACATCCAGCAGACAGAAGCTGAGAAGTTTCCTCCGACGCTTGCGCACTGGTACCAGTAGTGTCCGCTTTGCATGGACCTAGAAAGTCCACAGTTCGGCACATCTTCGAATATGATTCAATTTTCTCCGTTTTTGAGCAATAATGACGACTGGCAATCGATGATTGCATTTCAAAGGGCCAGAAACAAGCAGAAGTTGTGAAGGATGAGCAAAACTGAATTATGTTGTTCAAACATGCCGGTCGCTGTCAATCACGGCGACCACGGCCCCCGGTGAAACGGTGCAGCGGCGTGCAGCCGTGAAATCTAATACCAAACTGAGTGAAACGAAGTCCCACTAAATCTAATACCAAAATCCAACAACTAACAACTCCAATACAAACGTGTGTGTGTTCGGGGATATAGGTCAGGCGTATCGACCTTCAATCTCAAACTGGCGCCAACTCGATACTTCTTAACTTGAATAGTCAAAACAAAGGTCTATTAAGCACCTCAATAGGATTACTCTCGTGTTCTAAACAATGTGTAGGACTGGTTTATGGTCACAGAGTGTATATAGAGTCAACCCCAAGTTGATTAGTTTTTAACGGCTGGTTGGTTTGAAGACACTAAGACTCTAATACAA